TGCACACTTTGTCCCGCACACACAATCCCTCTGCAGACACAATGGAACACACACACACACACACACACACACACACACACACACACACAGCCTCTGTCTGCTTTCACACAGTTTTGGACGAACCGTACCAAGCACCAGGTAAAGAGTGCTGCTTTAGCTGGAAATGAAAACATTTCTTTGTCTTGTTTTTACTAGTTTAACAGTTGTTTAAATAAAATAGCAGCTGTTAGTTTGAGTGAGATTTTGAATGGACTCATGCTCCAATTTGAAAGTACAGCAGAAAGAGTGAAAACATGCTTGAATCCGTCACGCTGGAATTGAAAAAGACAGACGAACAGTTCAAATACTTACGTCAAGTGCGACCAAAAGTTCAGCGGCAGCGTGAAACTGTGGCGACGTTAGGAGGGAAAAATCAAACGCGAGAGCAAAAAGCTTCCATATGTGAGGAGAAAGCTCATTTAGACTGGCTGAGAATTCACTGCTGAAATGAGTTGAACGGGTTCCTCTCGCTCACTGTCTGCATGTCTCTCCCACACACACACACACACTCCTGACACGCAGTCTTTCAGCGTGATCTCTCTGCCTCTAGTGGGAACTCAGCCAGTAGTTTGCAAATACAAGTGCCTTACAAATCTCTCCCCCTCTCTCGCCCTCCCTACCTCCCGTTCCTTCCGTGCTTTTACACAGATAAACAAGCACATGCATTCCCACATGCATGCACCCCCCACTTCCTTCACACACACACGCGCACACACAAGTCTGGCGACGACACAAGTTATTGAACTGCTCCACATTTTCTTGCATGCACTATATATGAGGCGGTTGACGGACAGCAGCACATAGTCATGTGTGCAGCCAGGGCTGCTGCGATTGGCTGGAGGCCTGGGAGCCGAGGGGGGGAGGCGGAGGATGGCTGCGATTGGTCCGAGCTCAAACCATTGAAAGCAGAAGATTTTCTCTGTTGAATGGCTGCTGCTCTGGGTGGAGCCTGAGTGACACTGCTTGGGGAAAAAACCTGCATCCGGAGAGTTTTGTGCCTTTACTGGAGTGTTAACAGCTGTGGATGAATGCTGTGGAAGTGCCACAGCTGGGACGCTCAAACAAGGTGGTTTTGGACAGAAAAGACACGTCTGAAATGATTAATCAAACATTAGATAGCGCTCAGTTTAATTCATGTTTTCTTTTGCATTAGTAAGCTTTCTAAACATGCATCTCATTCATTTTACCATATTTGAAAATGTGCTTTTACTTATTTGTTTTTACTGATCAAAGAAGGAAACAAAGCTGCCACATTAACGTTTGGCTTTGGTCAACGCAATGTTAAGAATACATCGTTGATCGATAATGCTGGGGCTGCACCGGTATGTCTAATATCAGAAACGGTCAGTATTGACTTGGGTTTTATTGATATGGTTTTTACACGGCTCGAGGTTCTGTGCTGAAGAGCTGAAAGTCATCACATTAAAGAGGGTTTGTTTCTTTAAGTGGGTTCAAATAGAACAAAAACAAATACAGGAAAAAGATGAGCATCAACACTTTTGTTATTATTATTCCAGGTCAATGCACATCAAAGTAATAATATTTATCTGGCTGTCTTTCATTTACAGATGCAATGCTGCTGTATTTTTGAACCCTGACAAAAACAACAGAAGGAGGTCATGACGTATGATATTAATGAGCCCGATAATCCAGTGGCTCCCACATAAACAGGAAGATTAGGAGTTGTAAAGCCACCAGTCTCAAATGTGTGTGGTTATGTTGTAGTGTAGGTAGCTGTAGTGAGCGATCATGTGGAATGGCGCTGTGCTCTGGTGCGGCATTTATCAAACTGGCGGCTGCAGACTTATCAACATATGCGTCCTGCTGCCTTCAGATGGCTGCAGGGATTTTCTGAGCTGCAGAAGTTTTTAATGCACCATAACCAGCTGTGGTCATCACATACTCCAGAAATCACTGGCTGATGAATTCATACTGATTTACTATCATTCCTGCTTTGAGAACATTGAAAGTTTTGATGACAGTTTCCAAACATCTTTTGGCAGAGGCATATTTTCTAGCATTAGGTCATTTACAGATTAAGCTTTATTCTGTTATTTCTGCTCCAACTGTTCAACTGAGATCATCAGAGTGGAAGCAAAGTCATGTTGTCCCAGAGCCACAATATCTGTTTTCTCACAAGCACCAATTAAGATGACCTTCATTTGAATTACTTTGCACCTGTTTGTGCCTCTTCCCTCACCTGCACGCCGAGCTTGGAGCATCAGAGCGTCACACACGTGGCTGCATCCAGTTTCAGGAATATCCTAAACTGTTACAGTGCTGCGTGTACTGGTCTTTGACTAAACACTAGCACAGCAGGAATCCATCCATTCCACGTATCCTTATCAGAGTCTCCACAGTAGGAATTTAAAATGCAATGTAGGTAACAAAGTCAAAGGTGTAAAACTATGTAGTGTTTCAGATTTGACTTCAAACTCTTTAGAACACTGAATGTAAATGGACGAGTTCTTATATCCGAGCACTCAAAGCGCTTTACATCACTGCATGTGTTTTGTAACATCTGTCATTGTTAGTGGAAAAACTTACCCCATGACTTACCCCAAGCAGACATATTGAAACTGTCGGTTTGTATCCTATGTGTGATTTTTGATCATACGTAACGAAGGAAAAATCTCTCGTAAAACCTTGTCATCCTGTGGATGAACTCCAGTTCTACTATTTATGTATATATGTATATACAGTGGGGCAAAAAAGTATTTAGTCAGCCACCGATTGTGCAAGTTCCCCCACCTAAAATGATGACAGAGGTCAGTAATTTGCACCAGAG